CCTCAGGGGAAATGTGATTTGCCCAAGATCACACAGCCAGTGACAGCACAGAAATGTATGTGAGGTCACCTGCTTTCATGCAAGGTACAGAGAAGATACCTGATATGGACCACTCCCTCCTCATCTTCCTCTCTATTTCCACTGGTCAGTGTCTTTACAGGATTCTGGGGGGTTTAGGGGGGGCTTTTGGTTTGTTTTTTGAGGTGGAGTCTTCCTCTGTTGCTTAGGCTGGAGTACAGTGGCATGATCTCGGTTCACTGCAACCTCCACCTGCCGGATTCAAATGATTCTCCTGCTTAAGCCTCCCGAGTAGCTGGGATTACAAGCACCCACCAGCACACCCAGCTAATTTTTGTACTTTTAGGAGAGATGGGGTTTCACTATGTTGGCCAGGCTGGTCTCGAAATCCTGGCCTCAAGTCATCCTCCTGCCTCGGCCTCCCAAAGTGCTGGGATTACAGGTGTGAGCCACCGTGCCTGGCCCCATGATTCTGTTATTGACAATCAAATGAGATTATCCATGCAAAGAGCTCATCACTGTACCAATGAAAGCATTCAATAACTGGTAGCAGTTAGTATAGGATTTTACAGTTGATGAAACCAAGGGCTGGAGAGACAGATAATTGTTCCACTGTTACACAGCTGGTAAGTGACACAGGCTTTCTCAGGTCTGTCTGACCAGAACCTAACATTCTTTCTCCCACACTAGTGGTTCTTAATTTGGAGCAGCTTTGTCTCCCAGGTGGTATTTGGCAATGTCTGGAGCTATCTTTGGTTTTCATCACTGTGAATGTGGAGTGCTACTGTCATCTAGTGGGTAAAGCCTAGGAATGACATTAAACATCCTACATCTCTCCCACGCCCCCGAAACAAAGACTTTTCCAGCTCCAAATGTCAATAGTGCTAAGGTTGAGAAATTATGCCCTATACTGTGGTGCCATCGTAAATAAGCCTTACCAGGTGAGGCATGGTAGCTCACACCTGTAATCCCAGCACTTTGGGAGGCTGAGGCAAGATCATCTGAGGTCAGGAGTTCAAGACTAGCCTGGCTAACATGGTGAAACCCGTCTCTACTAAAAATACAAAAATTAGCCAGGCACAGTGGTGCACACCTTTAGCCCCAGCTACTAGGGAAGCTGAGGCAGGAGAATCGCTGGAACCCAGGGGGTACAGGTTGCAGTGAGTCAAGATTGCACCACTGCACTCCAGCCTGGGTGACAGAGTGGGACTCTGTCTCAAAAAAATAAAAATAAAAATAAATAAGTCTTACCTTAGAATCAATACTAAGGCTGGTCCTAGGAGATTTTCTGAGCTCAGAATCACAGGCCCTGAACATAGATAGCTCAGTCATGTCTAGCCTCCTCCAGCATGTACGCAATGCAGTGTCAAGATTTTTTTTCTTCAGAGGCTGGACGAAACTAGGAGAGCAAGATTTTTGGAATCTTCCAAACCAAGACACAGGGCAAGCAGCGCCCGGTGATCTTGCTGCTTGAGAGTGGGTGATCATCACCGATAAACAGACATTTCATGATACAATGTGCCAGAACTCTGCACATGCCTTTTTTTTTTTTTTTTGAGACAGAGTCTCTCTCTGTCACCCAGGCTGTAGTGCAGTGGCATGATCTTGGCTCACTGCAACCTCTGCCCCCCAGGTACAAGCTATTTTCCTGCCTCAGCCTCCTGAGTAGCTGGGAATACAGGCGTGCGCCACCACACCCAGGTAGGATTTTTTGTGTTTTTAGTAGAGACAGGGTTTCACCCTGTTGGCCAGGCTGGTCCTGAACTCCTAGCCTCGGGTGGTCTGCCCGCCTCGGCCTCCCAAAGTGCTGGGGTTACAGATGTGAGTCACTGTGCTTGACCTGCACATGCTGTTCTATGACATCCTCCCAAGGACCCCTCTAAACAAGGGCCATATTCCCATTTTATACATAAGGAAATGAGTCTTTTTAAGAGGTTGTTCAGACTCCATAAATTCTGAGTGTCCAAGGCAGAGAAGACAGACATCAAATACCAGCTCAAACACTTAGTCATTATGTGCCTTTGGGCAATTTTTTGTCCTTCTCTGATCCTTTTTCCCAACCTGTAGAGACAGGGCTACAGGACCTTTAGGACAAAGTAAAATTTGGGACCATGGTGTCATACAGGCTTGAATTGATACCTAGCTCTCTCTTTCATATCTTGAGCCCTTAGGAGACTTTCTCTTTCTCAATATTTTACATTATTTTACTTTATTATTATTTTTTGAGACGGAGTCTCGCTCTGTTGCCCAGCCTGGAGTGCAATGGCATGATGTTGACTGACTGCAACCTCCACCTTCCTGGTTCAAGTGATTCTCCTGCCTCAGCCTCCAGAGTAGCTGGGATTACAGGCGCCTGCCACCATGCCTGGTTAATGTGTCTATTTTTAGCAGACACGGGATTTCACCACGTTGGCCAGGCTGGTCTCAAACTCCTGACCTCAAGTGATCCACCACTCTGGCCTCCCAAATTGCTGGGATTACAGGCGTGAGCCACCAGGCCTGGCCTCTTTCTGGATTTTAGTTTCCTCTTCTGTAAATGGGACAATGCTAACTTGCTGTTCACAGGGTCATTGTAAGGTGAAATTAAGATCATACAAGCACAGTGCCTGGTATATATAATCATTCACAAAGCAGAAACTCTTTTTGTTGTCATTGTTTATCGGAGACTTTCTAATCCTGAGATAATCTGGTTCTCTAAAATGTGATAACGGCCCTCAGTTGAGAGAAGGGGCAGGGATTTCTGGGGCATCTCTGAATCCTCTCCCTGACCTGCCCTTGAGACCAAGTTCTTCTCCTGCTGGCAGCATCTAGGATTGCCATCTGGGCTCCAGGTACCAGTAGTAGGTCCTAGGTTTGGGTGGAGGAGAGGGGCTTATTCCAATACCTAGGACAGAATGGTTAGGACAGGGTCATCCCTCACCCTTTGCCACAAGAGCTGCCATTTGGCAGGGCACAGGAGCCCGGGCAGCCTCCTAGGTGGTTGCGATTACAGGCCTGGCTAATTTTTGTATTTTTAGTAGAGACAGGGTTTCACCAGGTTTGCCAGGCTGGTCTCAAACTCCTGAACTCAGGTGATCCACCTGCCTTGACTTCTCGAAGTGCTGAGATTATAGGCATGAGCCACCGCACCCGGCTGTTTTGGGGGTTTTCTTTTTGAGACAGAGTCTCGCTCTGTCACCCAGGCTGGAGTGCAGTGGCATGATCTCGGCTCACTGCAACTTCTGCCTCCCGGTTTCAAGTGATTCTCCTGCCTCAGCCTCCCGGGTAGTTGGGATTACAGGCGTGTGCCACCATGCCCAGCTAATTTTTGTATTTTTAGTAGAGACAGGGTTTCACCATGTTGGCTAGGGTGGTCTCGTCGTACTCCTGACCTCAAGTGATCCACCTGCTTCAGTCTCCCAAAGTGCTGGGATTACAGCCACTGTACCCGGCCTTACCTTACGTGTTAAAAGATTTCACAGATGTGATTAATGTAAGGATCTTGAGATGGTAAGATTATTCTGGATTATCTGGGTGAGCCCAGTGTAATCCCAAGAGTCCTTACAAGAAGAGGGAAGCAGGAGGACCAGTCAGTAGTAGATGTGACAACAGAAGCAAGAGGTTGAGGTGATTTGAAGAAGGGGCCATAAGCTAAGGAATGCAGGTGACCTCTACAAACTGTAAAAGGAAAGGAACTGATATGCTTCCTCAAAATCCCCAGAAAGAATGCAGTCTTGCCAACACCTTGATTTCAGACTTTTGACCTAGAGAAGAGCAAGAGAATATATCTGTGTTGTTTCAATCCATGAAGTTTGCAGTAATTCCTTGTAACAGTAACAGGAACATAATACATAGATTTAGCAAAGAAAACAAAATCCAGGATGCCCAGTTGTCATATTTGAATTTCCTATAAACAACAATTTTTAAAGTATAAATGTGTCCCAAATGTTGCATAAGACACGTGTGTGTGTGTGTGTGTGTTTGGAAAGGAACATACTTAAATGTTTATCTAAAATTCAAACTGTAGTGAATGTTCTATATTTTGTCTGTCAATCCTAGAAGTGGTGAAACTGAAAGCAGGAGTCAAAACTCATGATTCGCAGGTCCCCTCCACACTGCTGCCCCCTGCCCCTCAATCTAGTATCTGGCAGAAACTGCCACTTTCTTGTGGCCCTCATGGGTCACTTACCATCTTCTTGGGACTCCTCCTGCTTCTGGGGTAGGAAAACGAAAAGACTGTTTAAGGTCGTCTCTTCGGGCTCAGAGTTCTCCTGGACCACCAGAATTTCTCTCTAGAAATGGCTTAATGTCTACTCTGCCTCAGAGGGACCTAGGAGATTTGCCTCAAAGTTGCAGTTGCACAAAATACTTGCGGGGGGATCTTATTGGACTGGGGTGGGAGTTAGTAAAGCCTTTGTCTGGAGGGAACGTCATGAACCCCAAAGCAGGAAAAAAGTAATTATTGAATCAGGCTCCAGAGCAAGAATCAGGTTTCAGATAACGAAACAGAAGCCCAAGGAGGAATGGGGACTTGCTCCAGGTCACTCAGTTAATGACAGACAGACGTCCCCTGGTTTGGAATCTCCCCTTTTGGAGCAGCCAGTCCTGACAGCAGCCGTAGCTAGGGGGAGATCTAGAATGCTAATCCTGAGATCTGGGTTTGAAGCCCTTTACTGCCTTGATTGCCAGTTTCCCTTTCCTGAAATAGAGGAAATGCATAAACATGAGGAGTTAATGAGATCATTGGATGTTAAACAACAGGTGCATGTTAGCATGTTCCTGGAAAATGGCAGCGTCTTTCCTTCCTTCTTTGAGCCTCAGTTTCCCCATCTATAAGTCGCGTTTGACAAGCGGCTGGTACCCAGCCATTCCAGGTCCACAGCACGTAGCTCTGACAGCCAGGGGTCGACTGAACGCCAGCGTTGCGGGGAAGTGTCGCACATGCGCGCGCCTAGGCGGAGCCCCGCCTCCCACGCCCCGGAACGTCACTTCCGGCGCGAGGGGCCGGGCCGGCCGGGCAGGGAGTGCGGGTCGGTTCTGTGCGCGCTGCCGGACGAGGCTCCCGCCGCCGATTGACCCGCGCTCCGCCCGTAGCCGGGCCGGTGAGTGCCCGCGAGCCCGTCCGTGTGCCGTGGGGGCTAAGGAGAGGGACCCCTGAGAGGGAGGGATAACCGGAAGTGGGGACCAGAGGAGCGAGAGACCCCAGGAAATGGGGACACCTGGGGAGGGGGTGACAGCCGGAAGTGGGGGCCTCGGAAGGTTGTCCACGGGATGTGGGGTCTGGGGGCTCTAGGAGAGATGGCTTCCTGACCTCCTCTTGTTGAGAGAAAGGAGTGAAAAGGAAAGTGATGCTCCAGAAAGCGATGGGCTTCAGGTGGGGGAGATCTCTGGCTTCACCCTTACCAATGGTGTCTGTATCTCAGTCATATGTCCGCCTGTCAGCTCATTCACCAGCCTGTGACTGAGCCCTGCTGAGCGCTCGGCATTGCTGAGACCCTGGAGAGTCAACATGAAGCTCCAGGTGGAGGGTAGAGATTAGAAGACCAGGGTGGGGCTAGATGCATCCTTGCTCTGCCTCACCGGGTGTGCCCCCTTGGGCGCATCGCTTAACCTATAGCCTCCGCTGATGTGTACAGACCACTGCCATGTGCCAGGCACTGGGGGTGGCAGTGGACATGGAAGACAAGCCCTCTGCCCTCGTGGAACTTACATTCTAGGGGACAGTCCTTTTTGTCTTTTGTAAAATGGGAACAGTAATAGCGCTCTCACCAAATACTGTGAAGATTAAATGAGGAAATGGGTAAAGGGCTTAGCAATGCTTGATACATGGTAAAAATGCTCAAGTATGCATTCTCTTCATTCCACTATGATGTAAGCTTCATTAGGCGAGGAATTATATTTGCGTCTGTGTTCCCAGTGCCTGTGAGCACAGTGCCTGACATACATGGTAGGTGATCAGTAATTATTTGATAAATGAGTGGGTGGTAAAACTGACTCTGGAGAGTTCTATGTAAATTGGACTGTAATTCTAAAAAAGAAATAGGAACCCAGTTCTGTGGAAAACTGGAGGGAATCACCCTCAGGGAGTTTGGGAAGGATTCACAAAGGAGGTGACATGGCAGCTGGGCCTTGAAGGCCATGAGCTGTCGAGTTAGGAACAAATTAGAAGAGGAAATTCCAGGCAGAGTGTATCAGAAGTGCACGAGTTGTTCCAAGGATGATGGCTCATAGTTTGTTTTGACTGGCATTTAATGTGCATCAAGATGGGATGAGATGGAAAATGAGGCTGGAGAGGGGCTTTGAGGTGAGGCTTGTACCTTGTGAACACTGTGGTTTGTCGCTCAGGTAGACACTAGATGGGACTGCAGGCATCTCTTGGTGGCTTCCATAAAAACAAAGCCATAGGTGTTCCATTCCTCACTTAGCATATCTCTGCCAACCAGACTAAAGTCATTCAACAAATATTTATGGAGTGCAGACTATGTGTCTAACACCACGTTAGGTGCTGGGTTTAAGGTGATGAACAAGACAAACTTGGATGTTGCTCACAAATTGCCAACAGACAATTGCAACAGGGTGGGAGAAGTGCGGGCCACCTAACCTGGCCTGAGGGTCAGCGAAGGCTACCTACTCCAGGCCACCAGCATCTCTCAGCTGGATTATTACAATAGCCTCTAAATGGTCTCTGCTTCGGTCCTCACCCCCTTAGAGTCCATTCCCAAGACAGCAGAGTGGTCCTTTAAAAAAAAAAAAAAGTATATATATATATATAGTAAATATATATATATATAGTAAATATATATATATATATATTTTTTTTTACTTATTTGAGATGGAGTCGTGCTCTGTCGCCCAAGCTGGAGTGCAGTGATATGATCTCAGCTCACTGCAACCTCTGCTTCCTGGTTTCAATCGATTATCATGCTTCAACCTCCCAAGCAGCTGGCACTACAGGCCCACACCACCATGCCTGGCTAATTTTTGTATTTTTAGTAGAGACAGGGTTTCACCATGTTGGCCAGGCTGGTCTCGAACTCCTGACCTCAGGTGATCCATCCACCTCAGCCTATCAAAGTGTTGGGATTATAGGCGTGAGCCACCACACACAGCCCGAGAAAAAAATTTAAAAATTAGCCAGTTGTGGTGGTGGTGTGCGCCTATAGTCCCAGCTACCTGGGAGGCTGAGGCAGGAGGATTGCTTGAACTTAGGAGTTCGAGGTTGCAGAGAGCTATGATTGCGCCACTGCACTTTAGCCTGGGTGACACGGCAAGACCCTGTCTCTTAAAAAACAAAAAAGTGCATGAGTTCGGGTCCTCTAAGAAGCAGACACTAGGATGAGATTAGACATGCTAGAAATTTAGAGGCAACCGTTGTGAAGGACAACACCTGGGAAGGGAGCTGGTGAAGTCAGGAAGAGCCACGGGCAGTGATGCAGATCAGCTCCTGTGAATGTTTGGGCAGCAAGTCTCCGACTGCAGGGCAGTCCCAACAAAGGTTTGGCCAGGCCCTCAAGCAAACACTGCCTGTTAGAGGAGTCCCATGTCTCACTAAATCATTGGCTAGGAGCAGTGAGGCCACAGAAGGGCTGCGGAAAGTTGTGGCTTCCCCTGGATAGTGGATCTAGAGGGACAGCTACTGGAGGCCCTTTATCAATTACGTTTTCCCAGCAGGAGATCTGACCGGCACATATGTTACATGGGTATGTGGTAAAAAATTCAAACAGTACAGTAAAAATCCTCTTTCTCATCTTAAATCTTCACTTGTCCAGTTCTGTTCCCTAGAGATAACCATTGGTAAGTTTCTTATTATCTCCTTCCAGAAGTTTTGTGTGCATTCACAAGTGTATATATATATAGTTTAAAAACGTGATTTTCTGTACACTATTCTGCAACTTGCTTTTTTAACGTATCAATTCATAAACATCTGCCTAATTCCTTTTCATGATTGACTAGTACCCCATTCGTATGGTAATATTACTTAACCAGTCTCCCCTGATGGGCAGTTAAGGTGTTTCCAATCTTTTGTCATTATAATCAATACTTGTGAAGGCCATGTGCATATTTTGCACATATATACAAGTATATGTCCTAGAAATGGAATTGCTGACCCAAAGGGCATGTGGGTTTACATTCTGAAGATATTGACAACTGCCCTCCAAAGAGGCTGTCAATTTATACTCCCAGCAGCAGCAAACATATCAGAGTATGTTATTTTATCTTATTTTTGCCAATCTGAATCTCAGAGTTTTTTGTTTGTTTGTTTGTTTTTTAAGACAGAGTCTTGCTCTGGCTGAGTGCAGTGGCGCCATCTCAGCTCACTGCAACCTCTACCTCCTGGGTTCAAGCAATTCTTCTGCCTCAGCATCCCAAGTAGCTGAGATTACAGGTGCCCACCACACCCGTCTAATTTTTGTGTTTTTAGTAGAGACGGGATTTCACCATGTTGGCCAGGCTGGTCTCAAAGTCTTACCCCAGGCGATCCACCCACCCCGACCTCCTAAAGTGCTGGGATTACAGGTGTGAGCCACCACGCCTGGCCTCAGAGTTGTTTTAATTCACATTTATTTAATGATGACTAAGGTTGAGCACCTATTAATACATTTATAAGGAAAGCCCTGGTATTTATGAGGGAGTATATAGTCTGCTGTAGCTGCTGGCTGCCTCCCTGGGGACTAACAGCAGCCAGACTGGGGTCAGACTTGCGTGTGTGGTTTAGATCCCGATCATTGCCCCCAGTTGAGAAACACTGCCCTGAGGTTACTTGGCTTTTACAGAAGTGTTCCTGTCCCCTACACTGGGCTGCCGTGGGATTTGAAATAAGCACTTGTTAACTTTGCTTAGGGCTTCTGTGTTGGCAGGGACCCTGGTAGCTAATGTCAGAAGAAAGTGACTCTCTGAGAACCAGCCCTTCTGTGGCCTCACTCTCTGAAAATGAGCTGCCGCCACCACCTGAGCCTCCGGGCTACGTGTGCTCACTGACAGAAGAACTGGTCACGAAAGCCCGGGAAGAGCTGCAGGAAAAGCCGGAATGGAGACTTCGAGATGTGCAGGCCCTTCGTGACATGGTGCGGAAGGAGTACCCGAACCTGAGCACGTCCCTTGACGACGCCTTCCTGCTGCGCTTCCTCCGAGCCCGCAAGTTTGATTACGACCGGGCCCTGCAGCTCCTCATCAACTACCACAGCTGTAGGAGAAGCTGGCCCGAAGTCTTCAATAACTTGAAGCCATCAGCCTTAAAAGATGTCCTTGCTTCTGGGTTCCTCACCGTGCTGCCCCACACTGACCCCAGGGGCTGCCATGTCGTCTGCATCCGCCCAGGTATCTCCCTAGACTGTTGTGGGGCGGGTGTGTCCAGTCTTTGCAATGTGTCCATTCAGCACCCTGTCCTCCTTTCCAAGTCCCTTTTTTACCCCTCCTTTGTCATAGTCAAGGCTTTTTTGATTGCAGATAACAAAAACCTACTCAAACCAACTTCAGAAAAAGGGAGGATTTAGTCGAAGGAGACAGGAGTACCTCCCAGAACCAGAGAACTGAAGGCGCGGCAGTTCTTACTAGGGCCTAGACCCAAGAATCAGACTGCCACCAGGAGCCAAGACAGCCATTCTCCCTGTCTCTGCCTGACAGTCTGTGTATCCTTCAGCCACATAGTTCTGCCTTTTGCGTATCTTCTTCACACTTTTTTCTGTGTATGGCTGTCCCACTCCTGTGCAGTTAAATCTGGCACCCGCTCAGCTCTCAGGTTTGCCTGACCACCCAATTAAGTTCCTCAATGCAGATTCCAGATGTCTAGCGGGGAGCATCAGGTGGGGCCTAAGAACCTGCCCCTGGCCATAGGATACAAGCATGGCTGCCAGGGCCCTCCCTGAGCCCTCTTTGTGAATAGGTTGAGGTACAGGTATCAGTGCAAGGGTGTGGACTAGGCAGACACCTGGAAAGTGCCTCCTCTGTGCCTCCTCCAGCCTTTCCTTCCTTTCCTCTATTTTGTGAAGCCACTGACACGATTCACTTTGGATTTGTTTTTTGATCTTCGCATTTCTTGGCAGTAATTAGGATACCTTACATTTCTTTGTCATGGCAGTTTACGAATGGGGACTCTCTGCCACTAAAAGAGCATTTAGAAATACTCCCCAGCCAGGCGCAGCGGCTCATACCTGTAATCCCAGCACTTTGCGGGGCTGAGGGAGAAGGACTACTTGCGGCCAGGAGTTTGAGACCAGCCTGGGCAACATAGTGAAACTTTGTCTCTACAGAAAATTAAAAAAAAAAAAAAAGAAAAGAAAAGAAAGAAAGAAATGCTCCCCAAAGAGCATTTCAACACAATGACCAGGGGCAGCCAGAACTCAAGATTTCTGATTCTTAGGCCTGTTCTCTTCCATGACACCAAAAGCATTATAAACTTTGGAATGTTCTACTCCATTCCTAGCCTCAACATTTTCCATCAGACCACAGCTGAGAGAAGAATGGAAAGTAAGGATGCAATGTTCTCCCTAAGTAAGCCAGGGAATGAGAACACACTAATAGCCCTCTTCTGCTCATTCATATAAACGCCCTCTTGAAGGGAAGTTTGATGGGGAGTGGACACCTCCATGCACTTTCCTCTGCCTTTACTCATTCCCCAAACTCTCCATTCTCTTCAGACTTTACTATGATGTACCAAGACCACTGTTAATGGCTTACCTACTATTTTAGGTACTTGCCAAAATTAGTGTTTATTTTAAAATAAGCAATGCAGTACAGATTTTAGGGCACCAAGAGACCTGGAAACCAGTCAGCAGGTTTTTCTGCTGCTCCTCTGTACTCAACTCATAAGAATATTACAACACAGTCAGATATTACAACACTGATTGCACCTTTGCTTGCACAGTTTCAACCCTTTGCTCGTGAGATGAATTTTTTCCCCATATGTCTGGAGCAGATCTGGACCCCTTTCCACCGACCCAGCGTTTTAGGAAGAGGCATACAGAGAAACATTTCTTCTCAATTGGGTATCAGCTTTGCCTTTATTAAAGCTCTTTTGAGACATGTGATTGAAAGGGATGATATCCAGTTACATAGAGGCAGGGTTAATTGGCAGCAATGTTAAACAGCAAGCTGGCACAATTCGGGGACAAAGATCTTTCATGAGAATTTTGCATATATCAGGCCAGGTGCGGTGGCTCATGTCTGTAATCCCAGCACTTTGGGAGACTGAGGCAGGTGGATCATGAGGTCAGGAGTTCAAGACCAGCCTGGCCAACATGGTAAACCGCCCCCCGCCCCTCTCTACTAAAAATACAAAAAGCTGGGCATGGTGGTACATGCCTGTAATCCTAACTGTCCCAGAGGCTGAGGCAGGAGAATCGCTTGAACCCGGGAGGCAGAGGTTGCAATGAGCTGAGATCATGTCACTGCACTCCAGCGTGGGTGACAGAGCAGGACTCCGTCAAAAAAATAAAAATAAAGAATTTTGCACGTATCACATATCCCATTGTTGGCAAACGTGAGGTTTTATCTTTTAAGAAAGAGGCACATAGATTTTGCTGGGATTTTCTTGAGAACAGTGGTAGATTTTGCTGGGATTTTCTTGAGAACAGTGGTTAACAGTAAAAAGTGGGCATTTTCATTTTTTTTTTTTCCCAAAGAGAGGAAAGAAATCATTAAATACACGGGGCGTATTAGAAAAGTATCCACCTTGGAAAGAGGAGGGGAACACAGCACTATGCTCCATCCTCACAGTACCCCTGTCAAGGTTGTGTATGAGTCAAGACTCAGCTTTTTTTGAGACAGAGTCTCGCTCTGTTGCCCAAGTTGGAGTGCGGTGGCGCGATCTCGACTCACTGCAACCTCTGCCTCCTGGGTTCAAGTGATTCTTCTGCCTCAGCCTCCCAAGTAGCTGAGACTACAGGTGTGCACCACCATGCCTGGCTAATTTTTGTATTTTCAGTAGAGACAGGGTTTCACCATGTTGGCCAGCCTGGTCTTTTTTTTTTTTTTTTTTTGAGACGGAGTCTGGCTCTGTCGCCCAGGCTGGGGTGCAGTGGCCGGATCTCAGCTCACTGCAAGCTCCGCCTCCCAGGTTTACGCCATTCTCCGCCTCAGCCTCCCGAGTAGCTGGGACTACAGGCACTACAGGCGCCCGCTACCTCGCCTGGCTAGTTTTTTTGTATTTTTTAGTAGAGATGGGGTTTCACCGTGTTAGCCAGGATGGTCTCAATCTCCTGACCTCATGATCTGCCCGTCTCGGCCTCCCAAAGTGCTGGGATTACAGGCTTGAGCCACCGCGCCCGGCCTGTATTTTCAGAGACAGGGTTTCACCATGTTGGCCAGGCTGGTCTTGAACTCCTGACCTCCAATGATCCACCCGCCTTGGCCTCCCAAAGTGTTGGGATTACAGGCGTGAGCCACCACATCTGGCCAAGACTCAGTCTTTGTGTGGCAAGTGACAGAAAGCCAACTCACACTGGCTGAAACAAACAAAAAAAACTCAGTTGTTCAGATAACTGAAGTCCAGCCGTATTTCCATTCAGAGGCCCAAACTCTGGCACTGGAAAGCTGTCCCCACCACTGCTGTCCTCAACAGGGGCTTCATTCCCAGGCCAGCTCTCTTGCCTCATGGGGCCTGTGAATCTCAGACTCACCGCCTCAAAACTACAAGAAGGAAGAGAGATCTCTTTCCAAAGGGCCAGGGTCCTAGAATTGAGTCTCCTTGACTCTGCTTGACCTGGCTTGGATCACACACTGTAAAAAAAGAAAAGAAAAGAAAGAAAGAAATGCTCCCCAAAGAGCATTTCAACACAATGACCAGGGGCAGCCAGAACTCAAGATTTCTGATTCTTA